AAAAAAAAAAAAACCCTACAAGGGTTGCTACACAGATAGAGCTGTGTTTTGAAGGTTCAAGTTGCTGCTTCTAGAAGAATCAAGTGACATTGAAAGTACATTTGTAAAGAGATCAACACAGTTCTAATACTGTACTGGAAACTTGTTTTACCTAAATGTTTCCCTTTTTATTCACGCTTGCTTCTAATGACATTTCAACGTGTCTATTCATCTCCTAGGAGGACATTAACTAATACATAATGTTACTTTATTAAGAACCTATAATATAGCTTGTTTTCTAAAATAATCAAATGTGAAAATATATTAGATGCTTTGAAACAACTAGCCATACCTAATGAAATATTTTTATTACCCTAATTAGAATTCCTATATATCAGTGAGGACAGAGAAACAGACAGAAGACTTGGGCTGATAGTTCCTAAAACTTGCTCTAGTGCTTCTCAAACTTTAATGCATATACAAAGCACTCAAGGATAGTGTTAAAATGTGGATTCTGGTTTAGTAGGTAGGGGAAGGGGCAAAGGGGGAAGCTCATGGATTCTGCACTTCTTATAAGTCCCTAAGTGATATCACTGTTGCTATGCTTCCCCCTTTAAGTAGTGACCTCACAGAGAACTTTATAAAATTACAAATTCCAAAGTACCACCCCAAACCTTCTCGCAGAGCTGAAATTTCAACAAGCCCCTTCTGACTGTTTCTATACCACCAGCCTTACACTGATTCAGTGAGCTGAGGTGTCACAACCCAAATGCCTGCTGGGAGCATGTGGTTATATAAATACTTAAATTGGATTTATTTTAAAATGGGTGCTAAGCTGGTTGGGCTGGAACTAAGCTTCAGACCAGCCTTAATCACATGCCTTTTAACATGCTTTGCAGCCAGTACACGATGGCAAATAATGGTACACAGCCCACCAGCTTATAACCTCTGAGCCTAGAGTTGGCAGTCTTAACATTTTGGAGACTATGGCCCCTGTGTGAATTTGTTATAAATTATGGGACATCCACCCCCATAAAAGTCTACACACACACGTGCACACATTTCATAAAGAGTTTCAGGAAGTTGCATGTTTCCTAGTTTGTCCATGGACTCTTGAAGAGTTCATGAACCTCTGGCTAAAAGTCCTATGGTCCAGTTACTCTGCCTTGCAAACACCATCTGTTTTAGTAATGGACAACATACTACTTTTAAATATCATCTTGATATCATTTTGACTCCTCTAGGAAAACTATCTCTGAAACTAACCTACTGCACCTGGCTATGGGCTTCTTCACACCCACTCTACCCACCCCCAGGTGTTCCTCAGAACCTGCCTTCAGGCTGCACTGCCTGTCTGCGTTTTCCATCCTGTCTTGGCTTGCTCCCTGGTTGAGCGTCTAAAACGTCCCCCCTCCAATTGCAGTTATTCCTTCTGAGGCCAAGCCTCTGTTTTTCAAGTTCTTTTTACCTGTCTCCCGACTTGGAGAGTTTGAGACTGCTACCTTTATTTTATTTTATTTATTTTATTTTTTTGCGGTATGCGGGCCTCTCACTGTTGTGGCCTCTCCCGTTGCGGAGCAACAGGCTCCGGACGCGCAGGCTCAGCGGCCGTGGCCCACGGGCCCAGCCGCTCCGCAGCACGTGGGATCCTCCCGGACCGGGGCACGAACCCGCGTCCCCTGCATCGGCAGGCGGACTCTCAACCACTGCGCCACGAGGGAAGCCCTAGACTGCTACCTTTAATCAGAAATTATTACTTAAAAGAATTCTCAGACAATCACTTAGTATTTTACCTTCCTTCTCCAGGAATAGTCTTGAACATGCCAAGAAAGGTCTTATGCCTCTTACTCTGGCGGTTTTACCAGTCTTAGAAGCCCTCTGCTTAAAGGGGTTTTCTTTTTCAATCGTTTTGGAAAAAGGTTTTAAAATGCAAATATGTTGTGAACAGGATACAATCGTACTTCAAAGGATATGCAAAGAAATAAAGAATTTCAGCATTAAAGTGAAGAAATGGAGTCTGATCTGGATTGCTAATGCACATACACACACACACACACACTAAAGATCTTTGGTATGTGTGGTTATACAGTTTATTTTATCATCTATTCCTGTAAACTTTCTTAGGAATTTATGTTTCATAATATTTTATGTGCAATAATTGAGGGTTATAGAATTGAGCATTACTAGTGAGTTACAATATGTGGCATTACACACTGAAAAATTTTGTTGTCATTTCTCCTCATTAAAAGACGTCAAATATAGTAAGTCGATTGTAAAGGTAAAACTAAGGAATATCAGCAAATTTTAGTTTTTTATTGGAAAGTTTATTACGTTGTAAGAGCAAAAAAATAAGAGGAGGAGGGATGATCTGAAGATTTATCCAAATAAACATTTACTGCTGCCTTATCCACATGATTATTAGGTAGGTACCAAGTTTTCTATTTTACATGATGAAAAAGGGACTTTAGAATTCAATAAATGATTTGTTTGTTTGAATATAAACCTCTTTCTTGATGAGTAGGCATGGTGTTTGGAGTCCAGAATGAGACCCTGCCATATCACTGGTAATAATGGGAATTAGCTTGACCTATGACAGTAAAATTTTATATGGACAGAAAATTGATCAAAGTGAAATTATGCAAAATCAAACCTACAAAAATAGAGTTAGTCTCATAAAAGCACAACTTACCTGAGACCTATATGAATATAATAAATATCCAAAGTAAGACTGTGACAATTGTGAATGGATAGGTCAGTCAATGGAGCATTTAAAAGACTTCACAAAATGATTTTATAGTAGTGCACACTCACACCTTATGAAGTTTTGTTCAATAGACTTTAATTGTACATCCCTATTATTAGGTGGATAAACCAAACCATCTTAGCCTAATTCCATTAAATATTTGACCCTTCTGAGTTTTTTCTTGATCACTTGCTTAGTGGTTTTCCTTTGCTGAGGTAACAAATTTCCATAAACTAAGTGGCTTAAAACAACACAAATGTATTCGCTTTTAGTTCTGGACGTTGGAAGTCTGAAGTGAAGCTAAAAATCAAAGTGTCAGCTAGGTTTTTTCTGAAGGCTCCAAGGGGGAAATCCCTTCTTTTCCTCTTCCAGCTTCTGGTGGCTGTCAGCATTCCTTGGATGGTGGCTACACCACTCCAGTCTTTGCTTTTGTTGTCACACTGCCTTCTCCAATCCTAATCACCTGCCTCCATCTTATAAGGACACCTGTCGTAACATTGGAACCACTTAGATAATTGAGGATGCAAACCTTCCCATCTCAAGATCTTTAAATTAGTAGCATGTGAAAAGTCCCTTTTGCCATATAAGGTAACATAGATTCAGGAATTAGAATGTGGATATGTTGATTTTACTCCTGCAAGGTTCAGAAATCTGACATTAAGGGCACATGAATGTAAATTCATTGCTTGGGGCAGACTTACAAACTCACAAGCCTGATGTATAAGATCAGACTGTCCATTTTTGTTAATTTATTTTGAGAAATATAATATGTAAGTACTGAAATATTTAAGCCTGTATGGATAGATCTTTGTATCTCTACAGGAAAGTGTACAAGGAAAATCAAATCATAATCAGAAGGTTGGACAAGATCTTCAGTTCCATGTCATTTGAGTCCTAGAAAGAGAGGACAGAAAGATTCAGGTAGAAAAAAATATATTTTAATAAGCACTGTTCTAAAACATCCCAAAGTTGGTGAAAGAAATAAATTTACAGATTTAAAAAAGCACAGTGAACCCCATGTAGAATTAACTCCAAGAAAATTACAATTGAACACATCATAATCAAATAGCAGAAAACCACAGGGAAAAAATATATCTTACAATAGCTAAAGTGATACATTACATACAGGAGAAGAGCAATATGAATGATGGCAGAATTCCTAGCAGAGACCAGAAGATAGTAGAACTACACCTTTAAAATGCTGAAAGAAAAAAACCCTCAATCCAGAATTTTATATTTAGTGAAAATATCCTTCAGGAATGAAGGCAAACTAACCATTATCAGATGATGGAAAACTTAGAGAATTTGTCACCAACAGACCTACTGTAAAAGAACTGATAAAGGATGAAGGATGTTCTTCAGGTTGAAGGGAAATGATGCCAGAGGAAAAGTTAAATCTTCAGAATGAAGAAAGAGCAAGAGAATGATAAATATCTTTGCAAATGTAAAAATCTATTTTTCCCCATGACCAATGAAAGCAAAAATTATAAGATCTCAATGGATTTCAATAATTGTAGATTAAATTCATATGGAAACTATAACATAGAGGTTAGTGAAAGGTAGTAAATGGTTGCAAAGAATCTACATTTTACTTGAAGTGGTATAGTATTGAATCTAAGCAGGCAGTGAGAAATTGGCTATGTGTAGTGTAATCTTTAGGGCAAACACTAAAAAGAATAACACAAAGAGATATAGCCAAACAGCCAATAGAAAATTAAAATGGAATACTAAAAAACATATTCAAGTAATTCAAAAAGGTCAGGAAAGAAAGAAAAGGGGAATAAAAACCAAAGTTAAACAGAAAACAAATACAATCAGCCCTCCACATCCATGGGTTCTGCATCCACATATTCAACCAACCACAGATTGAAAATATTTGAAAACAAAATTCCAGAAAATTCCAAAAAGCAAAACTTGAATTTGTGGCACTCCAGCAACTATTTACATAGCAATTACATCGTATTGATAACTATTTACATAGCATTTAAATTATAAAAGATAAGTAATCTAGAGATAATTTAAAGTATATGGGAGGATGCCTCTAAGTTATAGGCAAATACTACATTATTTTATATAGAAGACTTGAGCATCCATGGATTTTGGTATTCACAGGGTCCTGGGAGCAATCCCCCATGGATACAGAGAGACAACTGTAAAATGGTCGACTTAAATCCAACCATATCATTAATTACATTAACTATTAATGGTCTAAAGAAAACACTACAGTTAAAAAAAGCAGAAATTAATAGTATATATTTTAAAAAGCAAGAACTTACTATATGCTCCCTAAAAATGACAAACTTTACATATAAAGGCAAAGATAGGTGAAATGAAATGGGGGGGAGGAGGGATAAAGATATACCATGCAAACAATATGCATAAGAAGGCTAGAATGACTTTTTATATCAAAAGAAAAGATTTCAAATATCAAAAAAATAAACTTTAAGACAAAAAATATTACCTGAGATGCAGAAGGATTTTTCATAATGATGAAAAAAAAAAAAAGATATAACAATTTAAAATGTGTATTCACCTAGTGACAGAATCTCAAACTACATGGATCAAAAGCTGAAGAATTAAAGGGAGAGATAGACTACTATACAAATAGAGTAGATTTTAACATCCATTTTTCAATAATTGATAGAGAAACTAAACATTAAAATATCAGGAAGGACAAAGAGATCTGGACAACACCCTGAAACATTTAAATTTAATTAACATTCATAGAACACTACATCCAAAAAATGCAAAATACAAATTTTTTTCAAGTTCACATGGTACATACACCAAGAGACACAATATGCTGAGTCATAAAGCAAGTCACAATAATTTTATAGCACTGAAATCACACAAAGTGTATCCTCTGACCACAATAGTATTTGATTTTTAAATATTTACTATAAATAATATATCTGGGAAAATTCTAAAGAGATAGAATTTAAATAATATATTTCTAAATATTTGTGACTGAAAGATGAAATAACCAAAGAAATTTGAAAATATTTTGTAGGGCAGGCCAGTAGGCTGGAAATTCAAAGTAAGGGTTGATGTTGCAGTGTTAAGTCTGAAATTTGCAAGCAGGACAACAGGCTGGAATATCAGTCAAGATTTTATGTTGCAATATTGAGGCAGAATTTCTTCTTTAAGAAACCCCATTTTTTGCTGTTAAGGCTTTCAACTAATTGGATGACGCCAACCCACATTTTGGAAGGTAATCTGCTTTAGTTAAAGTCTGCTGATTGTAAATGTTAACTACATCCACACATACATTCACAGTAACATCTAGCCTAGTATTTGACCAAACAACTGGGCACCATAGCCAAGACAAGTTGACACATAAAATTAACCATCAGATACAATACATCAAAGTGTGCAAGATGATGCTAAGGTATTGCTTAAAAAGGAAGTTATAGTTTTGAATGCCTAAATTGGCAAAGAAGAAAGATCTAAAACCAATGATATAATGTCCCCCCTTAAAAATAAACTAGAAAAAGAGCAAAGTAACCCCAAAGAAACTAGAAGGAAGAAAATAATAAAAAACAGAATTTAATGAAATTTTAAAATGGACAGATAATAGATAATTTTAAAAATAAAAGGCTGCTTTTTTGAAAATATCAGTAGTATTGAGAAACCTCTAGATAAACTGATCCATAAAAAAAAAAGAACAAAAGTCACCCTTAGTAGGAACAAAAAGAAGGTTATCACCACAAACATGAAAATGATAATAAGAGAAAATTACATACAACTTTGTGACAACAAATTCAACAACTTAGAAGAAATGGATAACTTCTTGAAAGGCACAATTTACCAAAACTGACACAAGAAGAAACAGAAAACAGGAATAGTTAAATATATATTAAATAATTTAAATTTTATATCAAAAACATCCCCCAAAAGAAAATTCCAATAAAATTCATATTAAGAGTGAATATCAAATATTCTAGGAAGAAATATCACCAATATTACCCAAACTTTATTAAAAAATAGAGAAGGAACAAAGGAATATTCTTCATGTATACAGAAGTAAAATCCTTAAGAAAATATAAGCAAATAATTTTTTAAATAAATTAAAAAGATAATAGATAATGACCAATTAAGGTTTATGCTAGGAATGCAAGGTTAGCTTAACATACAAAAATCAATCAATATAATTTACTATATTAAAAAAATAAAGCAGAAAAATGATATAATACTTTCAATACATGCAGAAGAAAACATTTGAAAAATTTTAACACTATTCATAATGAAAGCTCTGAACAAACTAGAAATAATAGTGAATACCTTCAAAGTGGTAAACAGTATTTTTAAAAATCTACCATTAATGTCATACTTAATGGTGAAAGTGCAAATTATTTTATCCAGAAATCAGGAACAAAGGAAGAATGCTTCCTTTCACCACTTCTAACCTGTATTGTTCTGGCACTTCTAGTCATTGCAATAAGATAAGAAAAAGACAAAAAAGACAAAACTTGGAAAAGGAAAAGAAAATCATCATTGTTTGCAGATGATATAATTTTTCACATAGAAATTTCAGAGAGTCTACAGAACAACTAGTAGAATCAATAAAAACATTATCCAGGATGCAGGATACAAGGTTATTATTTTTAAAACCTATGGTATTCTTATATACTAGCAAAAATAATTGCAAAGTGAAATTTAAAAAATTCCTTTCAGAGTGGTATCAAAAATATAAAATACCTAAGAATAAATCTAACAAAAACACCCAATACCTTGAAACTTAAAGCTGTAAAAAATTGTGAGAGAAATTAAGGAAGTCCTAAATAAATAGAAAAATATGCCATGTTCATGAATTGGAAGACTCATATTGTAAAGTTGGGAATTCTCACCAAATTGATCTATCTATCTGGAAACAACCCAAAAGTCCATCAAGAGGTGAATGAGAAAACAAATTGTGAATTATCCACACACAACGGAGTACTACTCAACAATGAAAAGGAATGGATTACTGATAGATGCAACAATTTGGATGAATATATACATCATTATGTTGAATGAAAGAAATCAGGGGGGAAAAAGAAAACATTCTGATGATTCCACCTATTTAATGCAGAAAAACTGGCAAAACCAATCATGCTGTTAGAAGACAGTAGAGTGGGTACATTTGCAGAGTGGTAGAGACTGGGAGGGAAAAAGAGAGGCTCCTTGGTCCCCATATTGTTTTTTATTTCTTGATGTAGGTGTTGGTTACAAAGTTGTGTTCACACAAAGAAAATTTATCAAGCTGAATATTAATGATATGTGCATATATGTGTATATATAATTAATATATATTTTAAAACAAAAAACACGGCTACATACTTTGCATTTTCTACTTCCTTGAGCAATTAATAGAACTAGTATTTTTTTGTGCCCCAGGGACCTTATACCATGATATCTGAAGTCACACTCTCTATTCTTGAACTCTAGAGCTAGTGACCCTCATCTTCATCAGTGACAAATACTATACCCTTATAAGCACCAGCGGCAGCTACAAGAACACTATACACCACTTGGCTGACGTCTAATGATGATAAGCCACTCTCCTATTTAAAGAACATTTGCTGGACATTCTAAGTTTCCACACACACACACACACACACACACACACACTACCACCATCTCTACCATTGCTAAGGAAAAGAACAAAAATTATATTGTAGCTATCAAAAGTAGCATTCTTTGCCATATGTCTGCCTATGTTCCCCTCTTCTGAAGATCATGAAGTAGATTCTTCTGTCATTATTTGGGGCAATAATTGCTTTTTGAGCAATCCTAATTGACAAATGCATTTGTCCATTCAGGCCATGTCCAGATGGTCACAATTCTATGAGTTAATAGGCATAGCATTTTATTCCAAATCTAAAACAAATGTTTGTCTCTCCAGGTCAAGTTCT